TTTGGAGTTCCATTTTCACTTCTATTATAAGAAATAATTACGTATCAGAGCAAGTAATGCTCAACAGTATCTGTGAAAGCAGTACTAAATAAAGCAATACTCAACGCAAAGTCTTCACGGTCACCAACGGGGGCACTGTGACCACACAGTGGACATTCCCATGCAGCCTAAGAATTCACAAGAGGTGATAAAGGGAACGGTTTCATTGGTAGGGATAACCTTCAGAACTCAAAAAAAAAAAAAAAAAGAAAAAGCAGATTTCACAGAGTCAATTTAGGAAAGATCAGAAAAATGGAGTCCTGACAGTTAAAAGCAACATAAAATCCTTGAATAAGCTTGGATAAAGAGGAGGAGAGGAAATACCAAGGCAACTGAGGACACTGGACTCTATGTATTAGATAACAGCACTGTATCAAGGTTAAATTCCTTGAGTGTAATATTATGCAGAACAATGACCTTGCTCTTAGGAGATACACATAAAGTATTCATAATTCCTAAAAGGTTCAGTAAAAAAACAAAGTGTGTGTATGAGCTTGTCTATGTAAGGAAGGAGAAGGGGCAAACACGAACAACTGGGAAATCTAGAGAAAAGTGTTCACTGAACTATTCTACAAGTTTTTCTGTAAGCTTGACTTTTTTCAAAGTAAAATCCTGGGGTTAAAACAAAATCAGAGAGAGGTCTGACTTCACACTGCAAGGTACTGTCTCCAGAGTAATGAGAAATTTCTTCTTTTTTTTTCTTCAATTCAGAGACAAAACCACAGAGGAAAACCATAATGGTTTTTAAAAACCATAACATGCAAACAATAAAAAGAGATGCCCCATATTAAGGAATGGTATCAAACAGTGCTATGATGCCCTAAGGCTTATTTGTGATAGACTAGGGCACAGCACCGAGGATTTTATTGTTTTGTTTTGTTTTAAACTATGTGCAGAAGACAGCTGACCGCTAACATTTTTGACAGCCTGGACACCCTGCTTTGTAAAAACCGTCTAGCTTAACCATTGCAACAAGCCTGACTACTGCTCCTATGAGCCCAAACTGAAAGAAAATGAAAAGAAGAAAGTAAGACTCAATGTGGTAAATAACTCAGGTGCGAAGTCACACAGTGAACAGGGGTCTGAACTCCAGTCTGAAACCCCACCCTCTAGGGTCTGTCTCATATAATATCCCAGGCGAACAAAGACACAACGGGGCTGCTGTCTGTGTGAGGTCTTACTCTTCAAGGATTTATCAAATGACCGTCTACTACCACCATCAATTTGTAGTAAGAAGAATAAATAGTATATTTCCATTTCCCCACCAAGAAAAAGAATCTTCCAAAATACTCCACACTGTCAATGTTAATATCATCAAAATTCTAAAACAGATTATGTTCTTTTTATGTTAATTTTATGTATGTTACGTATAACCACGTAATAGCTCATGTTATTATAAAACAGATTATGTATGACTTCTGTGTATTTATAAAAAGATGTCCCGATAAGAAGTGGTGATGAAGAGTGGAAATGGGTTAAAAAAGAACAAAAGTAGGATTTCTATTACTCAAAACTAGGATCACAGGGTACTGTTTAAAAATAAACCTATGGGTAATCATATTACATTATACAAATATATCAAATTGATACATTTTATGCCTTAATTTTTTTTTTAGTTTATTTTGAGAGCACACAAGTGTGAGTGGGGGAGGGGCAGAGAGCTTGAGAGAGAGAATCCCACGCAGGCTCCATATCATCAGTACACAGCCTGATATGGGGCTCAATTCCATGAGCCCCGAGATCATGACCTGAGCCAAAATCAAGAGCCAGACACTCAACTGAGTCACCCACGTGCCACAACACATCGTACACCTAAAATACACACAGTGTTACATGTCAACTTTATCTCAATAAAAATAAAAAACATTTTTAAACGATAAAATTAAGGTTACGGGGTGCTTGTCAGGAAGATACTGAAGATACATTTCATCTGGATTTCGGGAGACACCTGACAGTTCCAGTCACGTCTTACAGACCCGACCCAATCTAACAGCCGTCTGGGATCCCATTAATCATCCCTACTGTGTGCCTTCCATTCCCGCACTTAGTGGAAAATCAGCTTAAGAAACTGTGAAACCTCTACACTCTCTTAAGACTCTAGGAATTTTGTTTGAAAATTGCTAGGTGACACGGACTCCTTCTATGTATAGAAATAAAAACTGACAGGTTTGGGGGCCGGCACTAAAAATACATGAAGAGAGTTGAGCAGAAACAGCGTTGTTTAAGGTGTAAAAATGATCCTAAAAAACGCATTTGCTAAATACTTCTTAATGTAAACACTCCTTCATCCTCATGAACTATAGTAAATGAAAAAGACACAAAAAGGGGGATATGTTCTATTCCAATTACTCAGGTTGAAATAAATATTCATTTTTGAAAGATGAAGTATGAATAGCAAAAGCCAAAACCTCAAAGATTTAGAAAACTCAGCCACAAGTTGAGAAATATATTGTAACCTATTTCCTATTTTCATTCAATCAACAGTGACTGAAAACCTAGCAATAACCATAGCATGTTATCATATACTATGCAGGAGTTATTATTGTAATTATTATTTAAAAATAGTGAATAAGAAAAAAACTCATATATAACATAAGGTTCTGGTTGATTTTACCTGACTTACTTTTTTTTGAAATTATAAGTATTACATAAGTTTTATAGTTTATTTCTGAAAAGAAAAAGTACTTATGAAATAAAACTCCATCAGAAAAAGATATCCTAACAATTACTGTTAATTATCAAGTAGGAAGTTCTACATTTTAAGTAAACATTTATTATCTTCAGGAAATGATACTTCAAAAGAAACTGACATATCTCTCTACTACTAAATTAAGTTACTTTTAGCCACTAAATTAACAGAGAGAACTACAGAATTTCCTCCAGATGAATTAAGACTGTTTCAATATTCTTCTTTCCCAGAAAAATTTTCGATAAACTTCTAGAAAAAATTAGAGAGTCAAATAAATTACAGACATGTAGATGATTAATAGGTCCCATTCATTTTTTTTCCTTCTTACAGCACTGCTCTTTTTATCTAAGGCAGTAAGTTTATTCTCCTTGCCTGAAAGACTGAAGGTGCACATAAAATGCTTCGCGCAGGGAGTCTCCAAAAGTTGGTCCTCTTTTCCTTCCAATAACCGGTCAAGATTCATTCTCATGAGGAGTTCAGCATGTTATGTTACTAGGGTAACAAGTTTTACTCCTTTTGAGGCTTATTTGCTGCACATGACACAACGCTTAAGCTTGACATCACCCTGTTTGTTTTTCTTTAAATCAGATTGTTTCCTGACATTTCCTACTGCCCATCATTCTAGGAATAAGCACAACCCTTGACTTGAATGCATGATTTCTTTGCTGGCATTCCATCTTCTCTGCATTTCCAGCTCCATCTTCCTGAGATACAATGGACACAGACTTCGTGGTGATGGAGACACTAAAATAACGGTGCTTCAAAACTAACCTACAAGCTGGAGCCCCTGACCCATCAGATGACGATAAGTATGCTGTATAACAAACACTAACACAACCTGCCCAGATATAAATGTCTCATAGACAGTTTGAGACCGAAAAGGAGGCAATTTATTCAAAAACTCCTAAACTATGTGTTTGCGGAAAGAATTTTACAAGACGAGGTATCATACTACAGATTCTGTCATTGTTCCTCTCTTTTGCCACCACTGCTCATAAAAAACTACATTCCTGCACTGTAACACCTTCACACTCGAGGGGTTCCACTCTGGGATAACGTCTGATGTCTTGCGGACATAAAAATTCCTCGTTCCACAAAAGTCATTACAATCTACTCTTTGTTTGCAACATTTAAAATAAATACATCCTCAGATTACAAAAAGCTCAGGAGATGAAGCAGATACTAACCCCCCACATACCACATTTACTTAATCCTTGGTCACTGCGTAATAAGAATAAATTGCACCAGTAAACTGCCGACAGGTGAAAAATAAACTTAACCTTAAAACACCTTTCATAATACAACACAGTTGGAAATGAGGTAATTTTATGAAATAAATTACTCATCTGTATTATGTAAACATCAAAAATGATATGTCTGAAACGTTTACCTTCTGTTTTTAATAAAAAAATTCTAGTCATATTTAAAAGAAAGAGTAATTTTCTCAACTCAAATATAGCAGTGTCATTTGTCTTCAGAGAAGAAGGCATTCCACTTAAGTAAATGTTCCAAATAACTGATCCACTTCAATGCCCAAACTCACTTTCCTTAAACCATTTTGGACAGAAACACTCTCAACTGTGTCCGGTATTCCCTACCAATGCAGGTAGTACACTGCATAGCCAATCTAATTCAAGCACTCGTGAGTGGCTAAGGTCTATCACTGAGACTATGCATTCGGTTACTATGGGATCTCTAAGACAGCAAGAGCCTCAGAGGCATTAACAAATGTAAAGCAATTCACTGATTCCAAATGGCCCAAGGACGACAAGTTCTCCCATCTGCATTTTCAGAGTGTTTCTGTCCCTTATTAAAAAGTCTCATCGGGGCACTGGGTGTTGTATGGAAACCAATTTGACAACAAATTGTATTAAATAAATACATACATAAATAAATACTCTCATCCACCACTGTTTCTAGCGTGTCCCTTACCCATCTTCTAAACCTTCTGAACTGTGGCTGGTACATCAGCTAACCAGGCAGACAATAATTGATCAAGAGCAGGAATAAACAAATTGGTGTAAGTCTCCATTTAAAAACATGCATTAGCCTCATTGCACTGCGTGATTCTAAGTTTCACCATTGAGAGGCCATTTCCAATTATTTCCTCATTCTTAATTATATCAGATGGTTGTTTTCTGGGAAAATGACCAACAAATAAATCATGACTCCACAGTAATTATTCTCATCACAACTTCTTGTCAAATACCACTATTATTACTTAAGAAATGTCACCATTAATGAGCAAAATCCATAATACAGACTGGCTTACCTGAGGCGCGTCTTGTGAATCGGTTTATTACCGGAGCTAAAAGAAAAAAGCAAATATGATTACATATTATTATATATATAAGTTAAATACAGGAAAAATAAGAATAAGTAATGCAAAAGGAAGTGCCACGAATATATGAAAATTACAGGTTTAAACTCACTAGGAGCCAAGAGATTAAAATTAAAATTAATTATTTCACCTGTTAAATTAGTCTCCCAAGTTTTGGATGGCTGAAACTACTTGACTGGGGATCTCTATGTAAATCTACATAGTATGTTTGAAAACAATTCGGCAACCACATCAAGGGCCATACAAGGTTTATGTGTCCTCTAATAAAGTAATTCTACTTTTAGATATTTATCATACAGAAATACTACTAGAGAAAGAAAAATCAATATGTCTATAAAAGGAGGTTTCAAAATAAAGGAAACAAGCCAAGCTAACAGAGTCTCTTTTTAAAATGGAGTTGGGGGGGGCATAGAGAAAGAGGAACCCATGCACAACCTCATTAGAAAAACCATTAACTTTAAGGAAAAAAAACCATTCGGCCAGCTGCAAGCCCTCAGCAGGGAATGAACTTTCTCCCCACTGAGACACCTGAATCCACCTCACTCTTCACTTCAAAAGTTTAACAGGCTCAGCCCCTCATCTGTGTATTAACCCAACCAATCCCAGGTCATTTAGTTTCAATCCCTGTGTTGCACAGAGGAGAATGAGAACCACACCCTTAGCCCTCTGACCTATACTAACCCTGCCCTGTCCTCTGGCTTCCTGGGATGCAGCAACAACCTAGGACTCAGGTGTCTCCCTGACCCTGTGCCTCCTGAATTTCGATCCTAACAGCCCAAATAAATGCCTGTCTGCTTAAACTTTCAGTGAATTATTTTTGGTCAACAGCATACATTTCTAATTAGCAGTATCATTTTTATAATGCAAATAAAATAGAAGACAAAGTGAAAAATGCTCATGTATGCTGAAATCATTATTAAGTGAAGCACAGTATATCTTTGATATTCTCAGATTTAAATTTATAGTTTTGATAATTTTGACGCAGCATGGAGGTCAAGGCCTCCAAAACGGTATGCTGAAGGCTGCCATTTCAAGGTGGTCCGTGGAAGCGCATCAATTCACCTGGGAAGGCTGCTGGGCCCACTGCCCACACTCAACTCAGCTCTGTTGTTTCCTCTCGCTTCTTACAGTTATGTCAAGAAGTGACGTTTTTAAGAGCTTTATTTCTTAAGATAAGCAAGTAAGTTTAAGGTTCATATTATCCACAGAAAGGACATCATGCCCACAGTATATTTCATGGCAGAATGTCATTATATGCTATAATACTTTTTAATACTTCAATACTTTTAAAACGGTAATTATAAAAATTGTTTATGCTATGGAAATAGGTCAAGTTAAAAAAGACGACAAAGCGGCACCCCAGGAGGTCAGGAAGAGGCCGACTCTGAATTTCCACTCAGGTCATGATCTCTCTAAGCTCCAGCGCCCATTTTCTCCCTCTCTCTCTCTCTGCCCCTCCCCCACTCACTTGCATGTGTTCTCTCTCTCTCTCAAAATAAACTTATAAAAATTCTTTAAAAAGACAAAAATTTTATCTGCTTCATGGTTTTACTACATGAAAAAATATGGATGCATAGGAACTTGTACTAGAACAAAACGGTCAAATGTTTTACATGAATCCTTGCAACCACGGTGTTAAGTATCTGCATCGCCATATTACCGATGAGGACATTTTTACAGTAAAGCTCAGAGACACTCATTTGCTTAGATCACAAAGCCACTCTGTGGCAGAGCTGGAGAATTTGAACCGAGGCACATCTAGCACCAAAATGCTGCCTCAGAGAGAAGAGAAAGCAAAAATACTAACTCCTGAAGTCACAAAGTAATAGGATTTCCTTCCGTATGGATTCCCATTGTTACTAAGGGTTAATTTTTTTCCGAAGTTTAAATTTGTTTAATGTTTATTTTTGAGAGGGAGAGACTGAGCACGAGTGGGGGAGGGATGGGGGGACAGGATATCAGGGTTCTTGGATACTTTCAACCCCCTTTTTCACAGGACTTTCAGAACCTAGTCTAAAGAAAGCCTCCCCAGCAAGCTCCAAGGACAGAGAATGGAGAGGGTGCAAAACCTTTCCACCCCAGGAATGCTGAGAAGAGACAGTACAGGCCAACAAAGGCATGAGGAAAGCAAAAAACACCTATCTCCTCCTGGCAGCAAAAGCAGAGCTGACATTCTCCTGCTCTGTCCGGGCTCTTGAGACAATGAAATCCCAGCACTAGGAGTTTCTGATCTGAAATGTCGGGAAGTCTCTGTTCTCTTGGGATCCCTTAGGTTTCCACGTGTTTAAGGCAGAGATTTGCAACACAAGTGCCATTTTCTTTCAACTGTCACAGTAATTCAGGGATGTCCTTGGCATCTGGCGGACAACACAGAACCAGAACTGTCCCAAATCTCACCCCTTTGTCCTGCACTGCTTTCAAATATCCCACTGAACATGCATATTGGCAAAAAAAAAAAAAAAAAAAAAGCCAGTTTATAACCATCAGAACCTAGATCACACCAATGATTACATATCAACACCATTATTTTACACAGTCTTTTTTTTTTTTTAATGTTTTATTTATTTCTATGAGAGAGAGAGACAGTGTGAGCAGGGGAGGGTCAGAGAGAGAGGGAGTCACAGACTGAAGCAGGCTCCAGGCTCTGAGCTGGCAGTCAGCACAGAGCCCGACGCGGGGCTCAAACCCACGAACCGCGAGATCATGACCTACGCGAAAGTCGGACGCTTAACCGACTAAGCCACCCAGGCGCCCCTATTTTACACAGTCTTAATATGCATTACATTTTCCAGAACTACAACATAAATCGAAGAAATTTTACAGGGTTTTTTGTATTTTGTTTTGTTTGGAATTTTACTAAGAGATATTCATCACTGGGGCACCTGGGTGGCTCACTCTGTTAAACATCAGACTCTTGATTTTGGCTCAGGTAACTAACTCACGGTTCGTGCGATCCAGCCCTGCATCGGGCTCTATGCTGACTGCATGGTGCCTGCCTGGGACTCTCTCTCTCTACCCCCTTCCCCTGCTCTCTCTCTCTTTCTCTCACACATACACACTCTCTCCCTCTCTCAAAATAAATATTTTTTTTTTTAAAAATCATGTCATTGCAGCAATGCCACTTAAGGTATCTGAGTCACCAGTACTAAATGACCACATACATACTGAAGTACACACCTGCTGATGGACATTTTACTTACTATAGACTACTGTCCTTTATTTCTCCTTTATATTTTTGCTAGAAATTGTGTCCGTTTTTAAATTGGTGAGTAGACAAGTTATATGACTATCATTTCTACCTCCCAATAGTGAATGAGGCATGCGATCAGGCAGTTAAGGAGACGGGCACACCAGGCAAGCGGCCTGCAGCAGTCAAGGTAAATACTGGGTTTTGACAACAAATACCAAGAACTCAATCCCTTAGACCCACATCCCTCCATACCCACTTGCAGGGACGAAGCACAAGTGTTTCTTGGAGAAAGTTCTGGCAAACTAATGGGAACCTCGGGGCTCCTGGGGAACTCAGTGGGTTCAGCATCCGACTTCAGCTCAGGTCATGCTCTTCCAGTCCATGAGTTCGAGCACCACAGTGGGCTATGGATCCCCCATCCGCCTCTTTCTCTGCCCCTTCCTCAATCTTGTGCATGCTCTCAAAAATAAATATTACCAAAAAAACCTAATAGTAACCTCCACAATTTCTCTAGATTTTTTAGTCTAGCTACCAAAATAAGGAAGAAGGTTGTGATTCATGATGGAAGTCTTGCTGCGAAGAAAACAATGTACATCTGGGCCCAGTGTGCCTGGTGTTCTCTCTCAGGAGTAGAGGACACCAGGAGGGAGGTGAGGAAGGGCACTGCCAGCATCTGGTAACCCTGGCAATGAGGGCTGCCACACAAGGCAAGGTGACCAACGGGAGTCAGGAGGCCTGTGCTCCACTCCCAAGCCCCACCGTCTCCCATGACACCTGGGGTGGACAGTGTAACTTTGACTTCAATTCTCAACTTCTAAAATATGAAAAATAAGACCTGCCTGCTTCCTTTCAGAGAGGGTTTTAAGAAAGAATCTTAAAATAACTTCAGAGGAGCGCCTGGGTGGCTCAGTCAGTTAAGCATCTAACTTCGGCTCAGGTCATGATCTTGCGGTATGTGGGTTTGAGCCCCACGTCGTGCTCTGTGCTGACAGCTCAGAGCCTGGAGCCTGCTTTGGATTCTGTGTCTCCCTCTCTCGCGTGACCCCTCCCCTACTCAGGCTCCGTCTCTCTGTCTCTCAAAAATGAATAAACATTAAAAAAAATTTTCAAGAACTTCAGAAAAGAATTTTAAAAAAACTAAAGAACTTAAAAAAAGAAAAGAAACTTTGAAAATGCCTGTAAACTCTAAATTCCTATTCAAATGTAAGGGACTGATGTTTATTTACTGCAAGTTACTATGATCAATTTTAATATTACCGTTTTCAAAATATACTAAGTAAACAGCAGTATAAACACACACACACAAAAAGTTAACAGATGATGTTTTCAAATATGAGAAGTCAAATTAAGTTTTCCCAGACTCCAGGTTTCCATCTTCTGATTTTCCTATTCTGTGGATATTCTGTGTATTTACTTACACATACACATACACACAATACTGGAGACTAGGAGAATACAGAAGGAAAAGATAGGAAATGCATCATCTGCCTGAAAAAGCAAGCAAATATGCAAAACTCATAGCATATTTTTTCTTTTCTTTTTTTTTTTTTTGAGAGAGAGAGACCAAGAGCATGCGAAGAGGGGGAGAATCCCATAGAGAGAGAATCCCAAGGAGGCTCGGCACACAGCCCAATACAGGGCTCGATCCCATGACCCCAGGATCACGACTTAAGCCAAATTCAAGAGTCAGACACTCAACCAACTAAGCCACCTAGGCACCGCAAATTCCTAACACTTTTAAGGGATACTGACCATGATCTTAGTAAATTCTCAAGGA